TCTTAATTGCTGGTGTTCCCAGGTCCACCCTGACCTGGGGTGGTAGCACCTGTTAGGGTCCCAACTATGGGCAAATAGTTAACTATTACCAGCAATATAATTTTGGAGGAAATATTACCAGAAACAGATTTTTGACAAAACAAAATATTACCAGCAATAAAAATTTTTGTCAGCATTAATAACCCATTGAGGTTGATATGCCATAAAACAAAATAAACCAAACCAATTTAAAGCAAAGGATACATACTCTATTCATACGAATCTATCCTAAAAATGTTGTTGGCATTAAATAACCCGTTGAGGTTGATATGCCGTTAAACAAAATAAACCAAACCAAACGCCATCAGTTATGTCACTAGCGAAATTAATATTTGCTAGAAAAGTAAAATTAGTGTTTGACAAGTTATTACCAAGTTGAAAAATACTAATGGATAACAAAAACAACACCAAAAGTTTCAAGGTCGGTGATAAAGTGTCCTTTAGAGTATATAAGGATGGCAAGGAAAAAGATGGCAGGAATCAGGAAGATGATTTACAAGGTAAAAGGGAAAAGATTTGAATATAAAAGGCACCATAATCAGCTGTAAAAAGGTCCATCAATGAAAGACCTGAAACACAGGGAGAATCAATAAAAATGCTATATGATGTTTTTGGTGTGCCAGCACCACAACAGGTCATTGAACCTACAAAGACAAGTTCCAGAAAAGAAAATGTATTGAATAACTAGAAGTGGATCTGAGAAGGAAATGCTGCAAAGTCATGTACATTGGCAAACTTTCCAGAAAGAAGAGGGGGAGATACTAATATTAATAAAATATAAAATAATTATAAAAAGTATTGATCTCAAAAGGAGGGATGTTGTAGAGTAAATAGTACACCCCCGGTGACTATATGAACTAGTCCACAACTATAAAGAGCTCCAGGTCAGCAGTAAGAGCAAAAAGCCTTTTGGAATCAGTCTTCAGACTAATTACTAAAGACACCATGGCAAGTTGCTGAAGCATTACTTATATTATAAGTGTGACAAAACATGTTATATCATTCTTGATTGTGATGGTGTATGCAAACAAAATGGAAGCCAAAGTGAAATATTTGAAGTTTTCTTTTCTTGGTTAAATCATGTTCCAAAAAGTTTTATTACTCATTCCAAATCTATATTACGAAACAGACTGAAAATAAAGGAAAATTGGTGAATGCCATGGATTTTATAGAATGTTGGTATGAGGTGTAAATGTAATAAAACGTATTTAAGCAAAGCTTTAAAATAAATCTTTATTTATAAAAAGAATAAAGTTTTTTTTGCATAGATTTACATTTAAGTTAACAGAAATAATTCAAATATCAATCATAAATTCTTTATAAAAATCCAGAATTACTTGATCACACAGTCACTATGCCTGGAGAATACATTATTAGCATTACAACAAATTGCCAGTGGATTAGAATCACACTTAATTATTTCATTTTTGCCTTTAAATTCTGCCTGTACAGATACACTGCTTTGGAGAAAAATAAGATTTTTCTATTCAAAAGTTTTATCATGTAGCTTGTTTTTCCCTGAGATTTTGGTTAGTTTTATTTGTAGCAGATAATTTTTTATGTACTTATTTACTAAGCTCAGTTATGGTCATTGGACACCCAGTAAGAATCAGACTCACTCGTAATGGTTTGTGAGAGTTGTTTGATAACTATTACACTATGGCTGGTGTCCCAATAATTAATTTAATCTATTATTCAATGTTTAAGTTTCATGAAAATAAGTCTGTTATTGAATTTAAAAATGCTTGCTTATATTCTGTTTCAATAGTAAAATGATATTTAAAATATTCCCTATTTTATTTATTTTTTATGAGCCTCATTTTATCTATTATGTTTTTGTATTTTAATTATTTTTAGAACCAACATTTTATTTACAAGTATATTTAATTGAACTCTTTTAATTACTATGCTATAAAGTAGTAGATGGCTACTGTTAATTGTGCAAACACCTGCTACTAACGTTTATTAAAATGTTAAGACTGTACTTACAATATGTGATAAAATGTCTTGTTTAATTTAGACTCTAATGTATACTAATAAAATCAAAATGTATATAGCTGTGAAGATAATGTATCCTAATGCCTTTCTATTTGGACTAATATACTCATCTTGGTTGTTATACTCACAATGTTTCAGCTGTTGTACCCTTTAAACCTTCTTCAGATGTCTATAATATTTGGTAATCATCTTGGAATTTTAAATCAAACAATTTACTCCATTTATGGGGGCAGGTTGTCCTCATTCCACTTTTTATGCTTAGGGTAATCTCTCTTGTATCAGTTAATTCTTTTGAGCATGTTTGACTTTTTATCACCTTTGACTTTTCTACTGAATAAGAATCCAGTTAGTGCAAAAAAGTTATATTCTTTAGCTCTGTAGAAGAAACAAATGTTTGACACAAAGGCAAACATGCATAACATAGGATTTTTTTTTTCCGTTTTGTCATTCAGTTACAAACTAGTCCGAATAGAAAGGTATATCATAATGATAATTCCTCATCTTAAAAATTTCAATTCTACTTTCCAACATTATCAAGTTTGTAGATACATAATAAAGATAAGGTGCTTTTCTTTTGGGTTGAAATGGTGTATGTTATAAAACATTTTTTTCTGACTTATTCTTCATATCCTGCTAAATTAGAATATTTTAGTAAATGCAGACACATGGTTATCTTAAATTGTAAAAATTATTAATTTTATTATCCAATAATAAGGACTTTGTGAACAGATAATAATAATGTACTTTTTCTTTGCATTTGAGATATCTTGAATATATAGAAACTGTAAATTAAACTAGTTACCAAAATGATCATTAAAAAAAAAAATTTTGAGCACTAACAAGTTCAATTATTTTTATCCTTCATTGTACAGAATCTCAAATTACATTAAAATGAGTTCAACTATTTCCAAATATTCTGTAATATAGAAAAATTACATGATAATTTCAATGGCACAGATTTGTGTAAAATGAGGTTGGTCATAATTTAAGTATCAGAAATGGCATTGGGTGGATAAATATTTATCTATGTATAATTCTTTTGGGAAACCCACTTAATTTTTATTATCATTTTATAAAAATAAACCTTTTACACTCCTTTTTAAAGGATATATTTTATTAAAATATTGAATCATTCTCTCATTTTGAACAGGTACAAATTGCATTTACAAATACAGCACTGATTAGAGTTCCGACAACTTTTTTGTGTATGTGATAATCAGATTAAAATATTTTTTATACTTTTAACCATTGATAAGAAGTGACCCATTCTACCTTTTTGTCTGATCAAATTTTTCTTATCCCAATACATTAAATGGCTACTTAATTATACTGTAATTTTTATTTTCAACAATCACTCCTTCATTCTTACTTGAGCATACTTTATATTCCACTTCCTTACACATCTCATTGTATTACTTTTTTCTTAATATGAACTTTTTCTCAATACCTCTTTCTACAATGCTGTTATGTATATGTGTATGTATGTTACATAATTATAGTATGAGTAGTATGAGGCATATATTTATTGGAATATTTGAAAATTTCAAATTTTATATGAGCACTGATTCCATAACCTGAAATTTGTTTACAATAACACAGTGATCTTATTTTTCTTTTTATCTATATCATCTTTCATGTTTTAATTTCAATCAAAGTATACTTTGAATATTTTTTTATAAAACCCAGCAAACCATTACTGTGAAATTACCCAGAAATTGTTGTTGTTGTTAAACCCAATCTCCTTTAGCATTATGACATAGCATGACTTTTTGTGTCAAAGATTAATTTATTGTATTATGAGAAGTTAAAGAAGTATAAGAGCACTATCATAATCCTTATAGAAGTTGATTATTCCTGATGATTACCTTCTAGGAAAAGTGCAAATATGCATGAAGTATGAAGAAATACTGTATCAAAATATGTGATTGTAGTTGTAGTAAAATTATGATGATAATTTGTTGTGGGTCATTCAGAACACAACTGAGAATTGCTTTAACAAAGCAAGTTGATTTTTAAATTACTATTCTACATCTACTTCTGATTTGTGAATTGCCTTGAATAACAAGTTAATAATAATACTGAATTGGTCTGTTGCCAACCTAGCTTTTCATTTAAGCAGTTTTTTTTTTATTTATTGGAATTTACTTGTATATAATGAATATGAAATTGAGTTATGAAATAACTATCTGGATTCATGGTGCTTGATAAGTATAATATAAAAGTAAAACAGAAGATAGGTATTCAGTGGTAGTGTATTGACATAAAAGTTTTGTTGGGAAATAAAATTTTAATACTCTGAAGGACAATGAAGATTTTAACTTTGGTACACTATACTAGTAGATGTTCTGATAACATTTTCAGTATCTTTGGTTAACTTTTAATGTAGTAATACACATATCAGTGCACCCTCTGTATCTAAGCTTAGGACAGTAATGTATACCATGATATGGTTCAGTGTTCTGAAAGTGTTCAGTACAAACAGATGTCATGCTACAAAGATGTACACATGTCCTTTTTGTTCTATTAGAACTATTTGACAGGGGATTGGATTGTAGGCTTTGAGAGGATAGTCATTTTGTAACATTGCTGCATATGTTGGAGGTGGTGATGCATTAGTAGTGTTTCATTGTTGCCAAAAGTGGTCAAATGAATAATTGAAAACCTGTACACTAGGTTCTAGATGGTTATATAGTACAGACAAGAAGATCAATGCATTGTAAGGGCAGCAGTGGCAGACTATACAACATCCCAGTTTTAATTTGTGAAGCTTCAATATTTGCAGATTTACATTAAGAAAATTGTCAGTAATTTTATTTTATTTTGTTTTTTTATTTATCTATGTATTTATTATATATTTTATAAGTATTTTTTCAGTTCTACATATAGATAGGTCTTGCCAGTAATAGCACGCTGTTTTATGAACATATGCACTTGTTTTATTGCAGTAACTGCAGCCATGCACCATGGAGAATTGTGCTACTGCAAGTGGAGAAAGTGGAGACCCCAACATCTTGTTTGATCAATTTGTGAATGCAGGAACATGCAAGTCTATCTTGCACACATTCCAGCTGCTCTGTGATTCTTTGGATATCAAACAAACTGACCACAGACATTTTTACAGGAGGCTCAAATTGAAACTTACTTCATGGAAAGCACAATCTTTGTGGGCCAAGTTGGACAAACGAGCCAATCACAAAGAATACAAAAAAGGGGAAGCATGCCCAAATACCAAGGTAAGTTGTTTTTGCTTTTTCTATATTTCTATATACCAAATGTTACCTTTCTGTTTTGATATAGCAAAACAGTTATTTAATAATTGACTATTATTTAGGGTTTGAATGGTTAATTCAGATTATATTAATTTACTTAAGTATTTGAATATATAATATAAATTGATTACTTAGTACCCCCTCAGTCTTAAAAGATGTGTATTAACTACTAAAATATAAGGTTGAGAAAGGTTAAACTACCTTATGACAAATAGTAAAGTCTCTTTTGAAATAAGACAAAGAATAACAATGATAAGAATATTAATTTATAAATCCTTAACTTTATTGATGTTCATGGACTTGGAATGTGTTTTGCAGTTGATTCTGTGAAAATTCTATTAAAATGTTTTTTGCTGTATTTTCCTTTTTATTTTAAGACAAAATAAAATGACACTTGTAATATAACTTTCACTATGTAATTTTATGCCTTCATCGGTTAGCTTTTGATTAACAATTTCTAAATATTGCTATTGAATTTACAAATGTTTCTAAGTCATTGTCTTAAACAATGAGTGTGCAGTTGAGTAGTTTTTGCTTTCTGACCATGAGACAGGTTCGAATCTTACTATGGTTGATTTCTCAGTGAGGTGACTACCTGATGTCATTTGAACAACAAATGCTTCCTTTTTCTCATTCCCAAATCATCTTTTAGAATCTGCTGCATTGTTTCCTATTCATATTCAATTCTTCTGCTATCAGTTGCGCACCTACACTTCAGAGTGCACCAAGGTTTGCATGCTATCCACTCTAATGAGAAACTTAAAAAGGATTATTATTCTTTGAACTGATGATGGATCAGGTGGAATTTCTGCAGCTGTATTATTATAGTCAGCTCTGGTTTAATAGCAGAATAGACTGGACTCAATGGAGAGGCAATCCCAGCATATGTCACCTTTTGGAAAGTTCCTGACAACCACAGGATAAATTAACCCAAGCTTTGTGAGGGAAATTGGGTAGATGGAATTGTTCAGAAGCTGCCAATGCTAGCACATAAATCACAAATCATTGTAACCAAAGGTTTGAGCACAGTGGCTTTATTCAAAAATTGATCACGCTAAATTGTGTGCTTTCTCACAGAAACTGTAACTAAGGTCTAGTTGCATTACAAACCTCAGGTGGTTTTTGAGAGTTGAGCAGGTGTCTGTAATGGGGTTTGGCTAGCTGCCCTGGTAGATGTGTGTGTTCAGAAATGAGTAGTCAACTATTATATCTTACCTAGAAAATGGTTGATTTTATATGATTAACATCTCTTCAGTTATTTTTAAAGAAATAATTGCAAAAAAGATAGTTAAATATTTGCCACTTGTCTTTATCAAACAATTGAAAAAGTAGTATAAAATAAACATATGCTAATTTATGTGTATCATATCAAAAAAAGGCTTTTGTTAAAAGCATATTTATGACCCAGGATAAAAAGATTTTCTGTTGTAAGATTAACATTTATAGCTGCTTTCTTCTTCCTGGTTAAATTTCAGAGCAGTTACTAATAAGTTAAAGTATATTATTAACAATGTTAGTTGATCAATAGATTAAACTTGTGCACTGATAACCATTATCAGTGCAGAAAGAGGAATTGGTGAGCCATTCATTTTTATAATAATGCACTTTGGAAAAGCATGTTCATTTTTCTCACCTACCCAACAATAGACTAAATAACAGGGTATAACAGTGGCCTTTCTATTAACAAGGAAAAAAAAAAGGAGAAGAGAGAAAACAAGAAAAGGTGATAAAATGTGGTTTAGATGAGTAAAAGAATTTTTATTTCCCATGATTTACAGGGTTCAATTATCTGCTTCTTCCAGGATATCATATATCAGTCATGGGAGGCTGCGAGTTCACAAGGTAGTAGTTGAGATACACATGGAGAAAATCAATATGCACATGTAGTCAGGTGAGATAGACACATGGAAGAAATATTCCCCAAATTATTGCATTGTAGTAATCAAGAGTTAGTCTCTGATATTACTGGTTTTGTTTCTAGCTGAAGGCATTGCTGTTGATGGAAGTGCCTTGGTATCACTCTTGATGGTCTGGTCAGATCTTCCTTTGTGGGAGAAATTAACATTGGCTTTATAGTGAGTCAGTGGATCAGAAATGACTGCTCTGAAAACTGCATGGATTTTTCTGATTATTCAGAAAAGATGTTATATGACCCTGGTATTTTTGGACAGTATTCCAGAAGTGTGTGCATGGAGCCAGACAAAATTAAGGTTTGTTTTTGCTATATGAGCTGTGGATGTCAAATTGTGCACTTCCATTTAGGTCAAAGAAATGGAGTTCTGGCAGTGCAACAAGGGCAGACTAGCCTCTCTCACCTTAGGTGGTAAGCAGTTTAGGAGTACTATCCTGGATTTGAAACCATGGAGAAAAAAACAAGAAATTGCTCTAATATCCTATCTTTCCCAAGAAATCATGGCCATTCACAGATAAATAAAAAAAAAAGGAATTTGTGGATAGCCATAATTGCTTATGTCCTGAAGGAATATAACATTTAAAAAATATTGCTTTAAAAATACCACTTTGTCTTGGTTGAGAATTAATAAATTCTAAATGTTATTTAAACTATATTAGTCAATGTGAGTGTGCTATATAAATTGACTGATGTACAATCATAGTTGTTAGTACTCAGGTGCAGAATTAGGTAAGTATTTTTGTTTTACATTATCAAGAATAGCAAATAGTATTTGTTTAGTATAATTTCTACTAACCAAAGACTAAACTGATAATTATATTAACATTTATTTTTATTTTGTGCAATGACACCGTTTTTAATTCCCTTACATGGGACAATTTCCCATAAAAATGTATTTTTTGTATACTTAGAATCACAAATTCCACTGTATTCATATCCTGATGAAAAGTTAGCCTAGATTTGTAAATTTTAAAAAAGGTTGTATTGCTCTTATGTCTTTTTTGCCTGAGATATATTTGTGTAGATAGTATTTCTGTAACTGTCTAAATTCTGTTATGAAGAATTTGTGCAAGTTTATCTGTAAACAGTTAAAAAGTGAGAACTATTAGAAAAAATTTGGGATTAATACTAAGAATACATTTAGAGTTTTTTTGGTTATTTTGGGGAATTACAATTTTACTTAGTTTAAATCTGGGGAAAAAAACTCTTCTATTCAATAACATATTTCAGAGGTAATGCCAAAAAAAAAACATATCTGTATTTTTCATTTGCAGAATTTGTTTTGTTTTTTGTTTGTTTTTTTTCTTCAAATTATTTATTATTTAATCAAAAGGATTTAGAATATCAGTTATCTTAGATTGCATTATACATGATGTTATACACAAGGTGTAACAATTTAAGTTCTGGAATAACCCTTTAAAAGCAAAGTTTACTTACCTGAACTTGATTTGCTGCTGTCGCCTTCAAAGTACTCATCTTGTAAAGCTATGCACTTCATGAGATGATGTCACCATTGCTGGAAACATTATTACAACTTGTTTTCTGTAATACCTATCAGTAATGTATTTACATGTTACTGAATGTCAGGGATGTCAGTAAATCTTTATTCTTTCAGAGCATTTTTCAATTTTATAAATAGCCAAATATTACAAGGAACTAAATCTGGTGAATAAGGTGCAGAACTTATTTTTGTAAAAACATTTCCTGGATAGGAACATTTGAACAACAAATGCTTCCTTTTTCTCATTCCCAAATCATCTTTTAGAATTTGCTGCATTGTTTCCCTATTCATATTCAATACCTTATGACAAATAGTAAAGTCTCTTTTGAAATAAGACAAAGAATAACAATGATAAGAATATTAATTTATAAATCCTTAACTTTATTGATGTTCATGGACTTGGAATGTGTTTTGCAGTTGATTCTGTGAAAATTCTATTAAAATGTTTTTTGCTGTATTTTCCTTTTTATTTTAAGACAAAATAAAATGACACTTGTAATATAACTTTCACTATGTAATTTTATGCCTTCATCAGTTAGCTTTTGATTAACAATTTCTAAATATTGCTATTGAATTTACAAATGTTTCTAAGTCATTGTCTTAAACAATGAGTGTGCAGTTGAGTAGTTTTTGCTTTCTGACCATGAGACAGGTTCGAATCTTACTATGGTTGATTTCTCAGTGAGGTGACTACCTGATGTCATTTGAACAACAAATGCTTCCTTTTTCTCATTCCCAAATCATCTTTTAGAATCTGCTGCATTGTTTCCCTATTCATATTCAATTCTTCTGCTATCAGTTGCGCACCTACACTTCAGAGTGCACCAAGGTTTGCATGCTATCCACTCTAATGAGAAACTTAAAAAGGATTATTATTCTTTGAACTGATGATGGATCAGGTGGAATTTCTGCAGCTGTATTATTATAGTCAGCTCTGGTTTAATAGCAGAATAGACTGGACTCTTTAACCTTAGCAGCTATTTGAGGAGAAGGGCTATTCTGAATTACAAACCATGAAGAAGTCAATAGGGGAAACTACTCCACTATCTTTCCCAAGAAATCCTGACAATTCCCAGATAAAAAAAAAAAATCTGTAATGAACCATGTTCTAAAGGGATATGACATTTTAAAAAAAAATTATTTGCATCCAACAGCCAAATGCAGCATTTCTATATGAGTATTCTACAAAATCTTACAGGAAAAAAGTGAAGTGTAATGTAGATTAAGATCATTTTTAAAACATTGCTGCTTTTTTTTTTCTTAAAAAAAAAAAAGTATTATGTCATTATACCCAAAATCATATTTTTTTTTATTTGTAATCTTACTTGAAGTTAAAAAGATTAAAATATAAGCATTTTCAAACCTACCTTATAAGCTAGGAAATCAACACTTAATTGTGCTGATAAAATGAAATGGAAAAAATAGCATTTTTATCGTGGCATTCAAATTAGATTATGAATTGGTAATTCTAATGATGGTTCTACCTCAAAACTGCATTTTTTAATTTTAAAAATTTGATTTAAAATTTAAATCATTAATGTTTATTTACTG